ACACTATGTGTGAATGTTACAATAAATGTATTAAAACAGAGCTGTTGAAATTATTATCGTTATTGTTGTCTTACTTTTTATTTTATTTTACAGAACAACAGTAAAATTACAATACTAACATTTATGATTGTTTATAGAGTTATTGCTTTTTCTCAACTTTTATTTTGGCGGAAACGCATAGGTAGACAACAGCAGATTTATAAATGCGTCTCATTACGAATAAGTCGCACGTATCACATTGTCATGTGCCTTGTAAAAAAAAATCATAAAAATGTGACTGAGCAACTGACGAGTGCAGATTTCCCTCCCTTGCGAGCTTTTTTTTGCTATTTTCGGCCGAATAATTTCAGTTACTGAACATTCGGTGCATCCCTAACAGCTAGCGACCTCCGCTTCGCGTCGGGTGGTTCCTGGCCTTATGTATTTGAGTTAAAAGCGTCTTAATGCTGGATTAGTTTCAGCTTTTGTCTTCTCCAGATGTTAACTGATGGACTGGAGTGCTGTGGATTACTTGTGGATTATTGTGATGTTTTTATCAGCTGTTTGGACTCTCATTCTGACGGCACCCATTCACTGCAGAGCATCCATTGCTGAGACACTGATGCAGTGCTACATTTCTACAAACCTGATGAAGAAACACACTCATCTGCAAATGGGATGGTCTGAGAGTGAGCACATTTTCATTTCTGGCTGAGCTATTCCTTTAGGAGTGTTGATGATGAATCATATGTCTGATGTGAGATATGTTGAGCTGTTTTCACGTCTCACCTGATCCACAGACCACGAACACAAAGAGCGCGAGGAGCCACGGACCCACCGGAGACTTCTCCTCATTCACCACACGCTGCAGGACAAACACATTCATACAGACAACATTAACGCCACACACATCTACGGCTCAAACACATGCAATCACAAGATTAAGGCTACGAGGTTTGTGTCAAAAAAAAAACTGTTGACTGCTTTGTAGTAAACATTAGTCCATGTCTACAGTCATTGCATAATTGTTAAGATAAATATGTTGATGTGTATGTATGTTGTATGTTTATGTTGACACCGTTGTTCTGTTGAGACAAAAAAATTATGGCGTTCCAATTGTGCCAAAAATACGTTTGTCACATTTGTCTATTTATTAGGGCTGGGCCAAAAAAAAAAGATTTTTCGATTAATCGTTTTTTTAAATGACGTTGATTTGATATCGATTCTCAAAAGCCGCGAATCTATCTTTTCCGGGATTTATTTCAGCACACATTTAAAACAAGATCTGATTAACGTGAATCTTATCATTAACACATACTAAAGCGTGGATGACGCTCGCGGTGTTTTCAGCTTCTGCCATGTCACTATATGATGATATGAACACGAATGTCATCTCCAGCTGCTCTGAGAGTCACTTCATTAGCATTTTACCGTTTCATTTGAGAAAACTACCGTCATATCACATACACAGCAGCTGCGAGTTCTTCACGGCAACCCGTCAAAATAAAAGTTTAGTTTAACGTTAAGAAACTGTGTCAGAATATATTACTATTTAGCAGTCTTAAGAATCAATGCTACTACTGCTAATAAATATTAATACATCTTTATTTTTAAAGGAATAATCACATCTGTTTTCTTTTTAATTTTAACAGTAAACCTCTGTTGTGCAGCACTTTGTTTGCCTTCATCTGATTACCAGAAAAAGTAAGAACATTTTATAGGGCCCTATTATTTTTTTTAAAAAGGACCCATACAAAAAAAAGTATAGGTTTAAAATACAGGCATGTGGTTCTTAATTTCTTTTTATGAATTCATCATTTGTAAACTGATGTTTACTGTTAATTTTTTAGAAATATCAATAGCATTTGTATTAAAACTATATTCACTGAATGTAATAAAAAAATCGAGAATCGAATCGAATCGGGACATCTGAATCGATACCCAGCCCTACTATTTATGTGTTCAATCTACAAGTTGGGAAGCCGTAATTACGACATCAGGTGCGTTCAAATCACTTTGGTTGGAGCAAGATTGCGATGCACATTTTCCTACAAAAACAAAAAACAGTTTTAACCTTACTTCTACAAAATGATGAATAAAGAATGCACATCGGCGTGTTTTTGATTTTTCTGTTTTTATTTAATTTATAAAGGTGCTGTAAATCTAATCATTATATACTCTATCGTAATTGAACAATACTATCGTAATATTCGCAGAACATTATCTGTACATCGTTAATGGAATGTTTTTTTCCTGAAACATTTTAGTTGAACGTTCGTCTAACATTTTTAAATGTTGCTACTTGTTTCAGAACATTTAAAAAAACACACAACAGTAACGTTTGCATGTTTACAACAGGATAAAATGGAATGTTCCATTAACGTTTGCATAACCATGAAAAAAAAACATCTGACTGGACATTTTGAATGTTCAGATAATATTCAGATATAATGTTTTCATAATTTAATGAGAACGTTAGCAGAACATTCTTAGAACATATTTTTAGCTGGGAGAAAGACAAATGCATCCGAGTGTTACAGAAAACTTGTTATTGACAAATCTAAATGTAGTGTTGTCAAAAGACCCGGTATTTCGGTACCAAGTCGGTACTAAAAAAATTAAAACGTTACGGTACCAGGTTTTCTTAAGTACCGGTGGTACCGAGTACCCGGTCAACCCGGTTCTTGATGCGCTATCAGAAAGCTATCCTCTTCCAGTGTTGCCAAGTCCGCGGTTTTCCCGCGGAATTGGGCTGCTTTTAACACTGTTGCCGCGGGTTGTTTTTCATGTCCGCGGGTTGAAAAACGACCCCATTAACGTGATATTTAGCCCCTGGAATGCGGATTTTACCAGGGGAACCCCGCCAAAACATGCATATTTTATCCTCAGAACCTGATTTTTAACGGGGGATCCCCTCGAAATGCGATTGGGCGGGTTTTGTTGTGAAAACCTGGCAACCTCTTCTTAAAAGCAGTGGCGACCTCAAGAGGAGGAAACGCATCAAACTAACAAAACACCCCGATCAAGTTCAAGCAGGTAAGTTTCAATTACATTTTTAATATTTAGAGCTTCTGTTATGAATATTATTCCATATTTTAATTTGAATTTCGGATTGAATAAACATCACCGTTAGCGTATACGTAGTTAATCGTTAGCATAAGCGCGGCTAACGCTAATATAATGAGCATTAGAATGAATTTTGTTCATTTTGTTTAAAATGATTTCTTTGTTAACATTTAATGCTCTTATAACTTTTATTACTGTAAAAAACAGGAGGACATAATGGTATTTACTATTTTTACACACCAGAGGCTTTTAAATGAACTGTGTAACCAAAATATGCGTGTTAGAGAATGTACAAATGTATGGTTAACAGTGTTTATGTCATATCAGTCCGCCAGAAAAAGTTGTTTTTTTTGTTAGTTGTAATTCTTGGCTGAATATCTCTAGCAGGTTTTAAAAGCCCTTTAAAATTAAATATGAACACAGTTTGGATTAAATAAAAGTACAGTCAAATTTTATCTCCTGTATAGACTTTACTGTACAATGACTTAATGTTTTCTAACGTGAGTTAGATCTAGTAACATCTTACAGTGAGTGAACAATATATTTTTAAAACATTCATTAATGTTTGTGTGTTATTTAATACAAACACTTGATCATTCATGTTTGTTCATTGTGCATTAAATAATTTTAACAGATTGAACTTTGAAATTAACCCTAAGAAGAATAATTGCCATATAACTATTGTTTATTGTTAGGTCATGTTATCTAACAAATAAAATCTTATTGTAAAGTGTTTTTAATACTACAGTTTCCATCTATTTGATATACACTTAATATATGTAATCTTATCTAAATTTATTATAAAGGCTGAGGTTTGTTATTTCCTGAAAAGTTATATTTTAGCTGGTGTCAATGATCTTATGTTGCATTTGGTCAGACTCAGCCCATTGCTTTACTTAAGTATATTATATTTTCCTTTTACAGCTGCAGACTGAGGAAGATCCTGAAACACACCAGCAAACCCTAAAACAGACAACAGTTTACAGATGTTTTTCAGTGGCAGCAGAACGGTGACTAAACTTTTGGGTGAAACTTGTTTACTTTTTTCATACTTTTATTACTTGTGGAAAAACTTGAAACACTTTTAAATAAGTATAAAGAATGGCATTGGTTTTGTACATTTTATTTTTGTTTAACGTTATTAATAAAAATGTTGTTCAATTAGCATGTTTTTGTGTTTTGCTTTGGTACCGAAATTGGTACCGAGAACCGTGGATTTTCACTGGTATCGGTACCGAATACTGAAATTTTGGTACCGTGACAACACTATCTAAATGTTGTATTTGTTTCCCTGGATATCTGTCAAATGTTCTGCAGGACGTTCACAGTGAGCAGAAACCTACAAAGCATAAAACTGAGCTAAAACACAAACAAAACAACAGCAGACACAGGCGAAAGTATTTTACAAAGCAGTGGATAATTTTGGCACAAATGGAGCACCATATTTCGGGAACCTGGTGTGTGTTATTAAATTATTTTTTATAATTACTGTATCAATTACTCTACCAATTACTGTATCAAAGAGTGATGGTATAAAATGGCACTTCTGATATAAGGCACCTAAATGTTATTTCAGAGAATACCATGGTACTGATGCCATAAACATGCAATACTTTTTGTTAGTGGTGTGTATTTTATGCGAGTGTGTATGTGATGTGTTGCATGCGCAGTGTGCATATTCGTATATTGTGTGCATTGATGTGTTTGCAATGCGCATCGAGCATGTGTAGTGTATATATGTTCGTGCTGGAGCTCGCGTACCGTGGTTTTCTGCACGTGTCCTCTCTGTGTGATCGTCTTACTGTGTTTCTCGTTCGCTACTTTCATCCGCTGCACCGCCGACATGATGCCGCCGCTGCTCGATCGCGCTGGGCCGGTAAACGGAGCGGCGTTGTCCGGTGACTCGGCTCCGTTCCAGACAGACGCTCGAGCTGCGCCGCAGCGGTGTCACGGGACCCGCCTCCTCGTTACGTCACAGCGCTATTCTCACTGACATGACGTCATGCATTGATGACAAAAACGATTTGCACGATATTTGAAAACTAAAACTTTAAAACGTTGTCTAATTGTTCCCCCCCCTTTATATTCATTGTTTTTATGTTGACCCTTGTATACAGTAAAAAAAAATGCACAAATCTGTACATAAATCTTCTGTTCCAGATGTTGTTTTTTCCTTAGTCTTATTTAAATATTCTTTCTGTTCCCAATGTCATATATGTATGTATGTATGTTTGCACCAAAAGCTGCTAAAAAAACACAACAAATTCCTTGTGTGCTTGATTCTGATATTTGTAATTAAATGATATTTATCTATAAGCCTATAATGTTGACTGATAATTAACATTCACTTTCATGGAAAGGTTTAAAAGTTACATTGGCTTAGTGGCTTTATTTATTCATTTAAAAAGCCAAGTAAAGGCCTAATTAAACATGCAGGGTTCTATACACTTGATTATATATATATATATATATTAAAATATAGGGCATAGTAATAAAACCATTCTGGGGTTCAGGCCCTTTAGCTCACCTCTGGCCCTGCTTGAGACTATAATTTGTAATTATTTAGTTACAAATTAAAATATATATTTAGTAATAATATGTGTAAGGAAAGGCAGCACAGGTGAATAGGGTAAAAAAACAACAACTCATAGATATCACCATATTTACCCAGTTGATTGATAATGATTTGTATTAGTTTTCTGAAATGTTAGGTTTTAATATGCAAACCCATTGTCTAACTAAATATGCGCTAATTTGCATACATTTCCAAAACATAAATCTGATTCATAAATTCTTGTCTGATTTTGTCCTCATATTAGAGTTAAAGATTCTTATAGAGAATATATATAAGATATATATATTTACTTTGTGTAAAATGCATACTGTATGTTTTCTATATCTGTCCACAGACCCTGTACTTGGAACATTAATTATTTTTATTAATTTATTATTATTATTTACTTTAGCATCAAAATACTGTCAATTTGATCATTTTCTATTGGGAATCTGTGTAGTTTCATTGCTGAGAAACATAGAGGAGAAAGGAAAACTCAACAGTTTCAGAAAGCTTTAACAAACAACATCAGCTCAGATTTAGATGTTAAATAACATTTATGGATGACACACAAACAAGTTTAAACTTGTGTTAAGTACTGAGAAAAAGTTCCCACTCACAAACTGTCTGAACAGAAGCTCTGTCACGTCAAACACGGTAAACAAAACTGACTGGAGAATCAGCCAGAGGTCACACACACACACACACACACTCACACACACACACACACACACACACACACACACACACACTCACTCACACACACTCACTCTCACACACACACACACTCA